TCAGTTAATTGTTTTTTAAAGAATTACTTATTTTTATTTAATTCCACTTGTTATTACTGTTTTTCAATTTGACCAGAGACACACACGCAGAGAAAGGGAAAGTGAGAAGAAAGCAAGCCGCCAGGACTCAAAGCACAGTCGGCCATGTAGGAATCCAGCACTGCTGGACCTGGTTTTATTTATTTTGTTTGTTTGTTTGTTTTAAGAATTATTTTATTTAACTTTATTTATTTAAATTTGACCAGAGAGGGACAGAGCAGGAGAGCAAGAGCAGGAAAGTGAGAAGGCAAGCCACGAGGTCCAGGACTCGAACCATGGTTGGCCATGTGGGAGTCCAGCACCCTTAACCACTACACCACTTGCCAGTCCCAGTTAATTCTTACATCACCCTATTAGGTGATGATCTTCTTTTGCATTTTTTTTAAAAACATTTTTAAAAATTTTATTTATTTATTTGTTTTATTTTATTTGACCTTGGAGGAGCAGAGTGAGAGAGAGTGAAAAAGCAAGTCACCAAGTCCAGGACTTGAACAATGATAAACCAGCACTCTTAACCACCACACCACCTGCCAACCCCCTTCCTTTGCATTTTGTAGACAGAGAACTTAAAGACATTGAGAGGTTAAGTAACTTACTCAAGGTCACACAAATAGTACATGGCAGAGCCTGAATTTAATACCTGTCTATCTTTCCTTCTCTACTTTTATGTTAGGTATTGTATTGAGTATAATATAAAGAATATGAGCGTTAACATTTATTTAGCTTTTTCTTTATATAGACTCTGTCTTCCCTCCACCAGATCTCTACAATTCATCTTTGGTCAAAACTTTGAGAGATATCTGATAGTTTTCTTGGAGCCTTAATTTCTTCTGGTATTAGTACAGAATTGGTCAGTTTGATTAATTGATACTAGTTTGCTGAAATTTTGTGTCAGCACAGAGGTTTCCATAGATGGCTTAGTATTTCTTTTGGGGGAACGGTTGTGCAGAATAAGAGAGAAACCCAAAGTATTAGCTCTAGAATAGCTCTTAGCAGGGCTAGCAGTTGGCATAGTGGTTAAGGCACTGGACTCCCACATAGCTGACCACTGTTTGAGTCCTGGACCTGGCAGCTTGAAAATCATGTTGAATACGTATATGTGCCCAGAATCTCAGGAGGAGAATGGAGAAGGGACTGCAGTATAGTCATCCCCTCCCCGCATCCCCCTGGGTGGTGGTGGGGGGGGGTGATTTCACACTTTACCTCTCACTGTCTGTGTCTGTCCATTTCTCTCTCTCTTGGAATCTCTCTATCTCAGTCAGTCAATCAGTCACTCTCTCTGAAGCGCCCATGCCCCATGACAAAAACCTTAAAAAGAAATAAAGTTCTGGGCCAACCGTGTAGTTTACATTATGAATTAATAAACAAACAAACAAAAATAAAACCTCTTAGCTCTTTTGGACAGGGAAACATAAACTGCCTAATGACCTTTTGTTGATTCCTTTTGTTACAGAAGAAAATACTCAGTTTCAAGTGGTAAAATACCTAATGTTACTTCTTTTTTATTACATTCTCTTCCTTAGGCAAGGCTCCTTTATCACGGAATGGTAGAGTTTTAGAGCTAAAATGAGCTTTGTTTTACAAATCAGGATACAGATCCATAGAGGAAGTGAGTTGTCCAGATCTTACAGCAAGGTGATAACAGACATGGAGCTAAAATTCATTTTTCCATAGCCTGTCTGATGTTTCTTGTGCTGTCAGAACATCCTTTAGGAAGTGTATACCTTTAGGAAAAGATACTTAGTCTATAGAGGCTAAACTAGCAGGTCCTTAAACTCCCTGTTCCTGAAGGGAGTAAGAAATTAAACTCAAGTATCTTAGGCTAGTATTCCTTGCTGGAAAGTTACTTTTGAATGAAGCTGGGTAGTCTAGTTGATTTAATGAAGTTGATAATGAAGTTCTAGGTGAAGAAGATGACATCTAGAGCCCTCTGTCTATAGCTCTATTTATGTATATCTAGAGATAGAATGTTTGAAAGGTTTTTATTTATTTTTAGATTTTTGCCATAGGACGCTTATGCTCACTTAGAGAGAGAGAGAGAGAGACAGAGAGCTACAGAGAAAGAAAGTAGTCACCTCCAGGGGGGTGGCCATACCACAGTCCCTTCTCCTTTATTCTTCTAGGATTTTGGGCGCACACACACACACATGTGCCCACTGTTTCTCAAGCTGCAGAGTCCAGGACTCCAACCGTACATTCAGCAATGTGGGATCCAGCACCTTAACCACCACACCACCTTCACCACCACACCACCTTCACCACCACACCACCTGCTGGCTTTTTTTTTTTTTTTTTTTTAATCACTGACTTTCATAGAAAATCTGGGAATGTTTTCATTACTAAGCAACCATTGAAGTATAGACAGCTTCTTTTCGATGCTCTTGGCTGGTTTTAGATCTTCATATCTCAGGTTTCTGCATGCTACCTTTCTTAAAGGTTGACTACATGGGAGTCCAGTGACACAGCCATTACACCAACTGCTAGTCCCTGTAATTAGCTTTTAATAAATCTTGGTGTTTTTAGAGGGTTATTTTAAAGAAATGTTGGATTTCATAATTCTTGAATTTTTCCCAAGTTTATAAAGGAACCTGGATTCTAGAATTAGCTTATGACTCTAGTCTTATTTTACAGAAAATAATCATGACTTCTGGGTCAAGATGATCAACAGATGCTTTCCTTTGCCTCCCATTTTATAAGCCTCTCCTGAAATAACAACATAGAAGTATGGAAATAAATTAATCAGGAGTAGTAAATAGAAAAGAGTGAAAAGCATTACTGCTAATAAACAAGAGAGTTAAACATTTCTGAAAGAGCTAAAACAAATGGGAACCAAGTGAGGGGTGAAATGGAGGATAAACTAGTCTGGCGGGTATAAACACACAGAGCTGTTAGTGGCGTGGAAACCAATGTGCCCAGCAGAAAGGACAGAAAACAGAGGAACTTGGTGATTGCATCCGAGATAACTCAGCAACCTGACATGACCGCAGCCTCCCCAGCCTTCCCCAGTGGAAGCAGTCCACATCCGCTGTGCTGCCTCCTGTCTCCGGCATTCATAAAGGAGAAACAAAACAAGCACCATGGCAGTTTGTTTACAAAGAAGTTGACCAAAATGTTCGGGGAAATTGCATTCTTTCTGTTTGAGATATTGGCAACCCCTCCCTTTAGTCTGATCATTGTGGGTGGAAGGAGGGCATTCCACTTTTTTCCTGGCAGCTTCTTAGACTAGAATGAAGCCTGCCAGTAACATATCCTTCCTTCCCCATGCTAAGTTCCCAGTTGAAATGTTAATTCCAGACCAATCAAAATACAGATCAGCAGAGGAAACCCTGTACCAGCTAACCAAGTTGTTCTACCTGGGTACCAGTACAGGAGAATCATCAGAAGTCAGAGAGGAACTTTCAGCATGAAAGAGCAGGAGACACAAAAACAAAACCTGACTGAGGGAGGAAAAGGTATTGAGGCAATAGAGGAGCACTTCAGAGATACGGCCTAGCATGGACCACGGTTTGAATCGCGCCCTGGCAGCTTGAAGAACACACTGGATATATGTGTGTACGTAGCCAGATCCCGACAGGATGGAGAATTGGAGACAGGATTGCAGTCGAACTACAGCCTATTAGGGAGTGTTTTCTCCCGCTCTCTCTGTATCTTTCCATCTCTCTCATGAGCACACACACCCTCTGGCAGTTAGGTTTTCTAATATACTCAGATTCCAGAGGATAATGGTCGTTAAATCCGGTATTGGGTATAAGAAGGAAACAATTATAGAATGTGAAAGAAAGAGATTAAGGATGCAGTTGTCCAAAGAAAATATGCAGTAGAAGGATAGGAAAAGAGAGTTGGAGCTATCTCTCCAAGTGTAGAGATGTGACGTCAAGAAGCATACAAGAGACAAGGCACGGATGATTTCCTTGGCCTGTCTTCTCTAGAAAATGAGCCTGGGAGAGAGTGCAGTTTCAGAAAGTTAGGAGGGAAAAGAGAGTGAGGTGAGGCCCAAGCTTTGTACGGTGTTGCTGATTGCTTGGTCTCACTGGATGCGCTTCCAGCACTTCTCTGGCCTCTGGCCAGCCCATCCACGGGGCCTGTGGTGAGGTGCTTAGCTGCTGGTTTCCTCCCTCCTCCTGTCCCTGCCCTTCTGGTCACTGTCATACTGTTAACTCACTGCTGCCCTCTGGAAGTGGCCTCATAGGAGAGGTGGGAGCAAACACCCTGGGAGCAAACCTGCACACAACAGCAGAGCCCAGTGTGTCCAGGGGTCAGTAACTCCCAGTGGCAGCCTCTGGCCTTGGAATCTGCCTTCTAAGAAGCTACTCAGAGAGGGTTACTCTCCAGAGAATGGGTGGAGGGAAGGGTAGAAGACTGCTGCTCTTCTGCTGCTTTTCCTTAGAAGCTCTTCTGTACCTGTCTCGTAAGTTAGGATGTGCATGTATTAATTTGATAAAGTAAAAATAAAAGTAAAAAAGGAGGACTACCCCAAACACCTCAGAATGATGAACTACCAAAGTTTTTTTTTAGAATGCATTTGGAAAAAACAACTTCAGATATTAAAAGATGAAATCTAATTCTTTCAGAATATCTTATTGGACTGCTAGAATTGATCTTTTCTCTTTTCCTTGCTCATGTAGTCCCCAGGATTAAAAATCTAGTGATTCTCTCTTCCTCCCTTGTGCACATTGGCAGGTTCTGCTGGTTCTGCTTTCGAATTGTCTTTAGCACGTGTCCATTGATCGATGTTCCTTTGCCTCTGATAGAGTTCATAGGCTTATATGTCTATTCAAAGTGTGCCATATCCTCCTACCTGATCCTAACTTCCCTTCCTCGTGTCACCTTTGTCTCCCCATGTTACATTTTGGTCTCTTCCTGTATTCACATATTATTTTGGTTACCAATTTTAAGAAGTTAAAAAAAAAGTCTATTTATGTATGCTATTAGACTATAACATACTTCTTTTATTCCTTTAGCAAGTACTTACTGAGAGCTTTTAAGGCCATCACTGGGGATACAAAAATGAACTAGACCTGAACATTTACCTGCCCTCAATGAGTTCATGTTCTATAAAAACAACAGGTAATATAAACAAATAATTGTGATTGAATGTAAGTGCTACAACAGAGTTAGGTATTAGACTGGGTGGGTAAGAGGCGGGAATAATTTTTCTTCTTTTATTTGGGCCAATCAGAAACTTCTAGAAGGAGTGAGTGCTTGCATTACATATTAAAAGCTTGCATATGAATTAGCCAGAGGGGTAGAAAGAAAAGGGTCTTTTTAGGCAGAAAGAATATTAGGTGCAAAGACACTGGAGGTGAGGCAGCACAAGATATTTTTCAGGATTTGATCACCATCAAAGTACCCAGAGCCCAAGCATTGTCATCTCTCAGGTGGATTATTATGATAGCCTTGTAAAGAGCCTACCTGTTTTTTGCCTCTGCTGTGTGATTCATGTAAAACCCAAGTCTGACTACACCACTCCTCTGCTGAGAACTCCCTGCAGTGTAAAAGCTAACATCCCTGCGAAGGCTGTGAGCTTTCCGAGTTTTCTGAGTGTTACTCTTTCTCCTGCACCTTTCTCACTTCATCTTCTGCCACTCTGTCCATACATGTTCCAGTCTGATTGCAGTTTTTGCTTCTGGGCCTTTGCTTGTTTTCTACACCAGGGGTGCTCTTCTGTCCAGATGTATACATTGCTTGTCACTTTAATTTCTATAAGGGTTTGATCAAACATTACTTTCCCTTGACTACTCTGTAAAAAACCACAAATCTTCTGTCCCTCCAGGCCTGACACTCCACTGCCCTCCTTCTAACTTTATTTATCTCCAGAGTACAGCATCTGTTTGTTGTTTTGCTTCCTGTTTATTGTTTGTCTCTTCCTCTTAGAGTGTAAACTTCCTAAGAGCAAGGTCTTAGTCACTGTTGTTCCCCAGCTAGAACAGTGTCTAACATATGACGTGGGCTCAATAAATACTTGATGGCAAAATCTGAAGCTGAATAGTGGATACAAGGGACATTCTTCCATTCAAAAGCGTTCAGACTTGTGACAGCAGGTGTTGGGAGTCTAGGGTTTTAAGAAGAGGGCCAGCAGATGGCATAGCAGTTATATCACTGGACTTCCACACAGCCGACCATGGTTTGAGTCCTGGACCTGGTGGCTTGAAACACACCAGGCATGTGTGTGTGCATGCCTGAGGTCTGGGAAGAGAATGGAGGAGAAGGGATTGCTGCATGGCCATCCAGGTGACTTCTCACTTTCCCTCTCATTGTCTCTGTCTGTCTTTGTCTCTGTGTCTCTTTCTCCCTCTCCAGCAAGTGCACACACCCCAAGGCAAAAACCTCTAAAAAAAAAGAAGATTAATTAAAAATATCAGACTTGGGTTTTATTTTAGAAAGATGATTCTGGCAGCTACTTGGAAAATTGATTAGGTTGAGGCTAATGTGTTGGGTCGTCGGAAAAGTCATGATGCTTTTTTGCATACAAAAACAGAAAAATACAGCATGACTTTTCCGACAACCCAGTAGAAGAAAGCAGAACTATTAAAAGTAGGATTCTTTTGGACAGCTTGGGTGAGAGTTGTTGAGATATTTTTCTTTTCACTTTCTGAAATATATATAACATAGACTCTCACATGTAGCCTTTCAGTTATTATATATTATTTTAGTAGAACTGTAATAACTCATTTTCTGTGGTATTTATGAATGATTATGTTATAGTAAGCTGCTTTCAGTGTTGATAAAGTCACCAAGAGAGGGATTCTTAACTTTTGCGCAGACTTACACTTCTGAAGCAGATATTCAACTACCTGGTTAATTCAATTCGGCAAGCATTTTCTAAAGATGAACAGTTATGTGCCTATGATTCCTTCATCTGGTGGGGAAGCTGTGATGATGTCTATATAATTCAGTCCCTAGCTGGCATAGGTGCTTGTGAAAGAATTAGAAAGTAAGTTATCAGGGCCAGCGGTGGCGTGGTGATTGAGGTGCTGGACCTCCCACAGGCCAATCATGGTTTAAGTCCCGGACCCCCCCCCCCCCCCCCTCTCTCTCTCTTTCTCTCTCTCTCTCTCTCTTTCTGTCCCTCTGGTAAGCGCATGTGTCCTATAGCAAATGAAAATAATTATAATAAGTAAAAACTAAATAAATAATTATTTTTAAATAAAGAACTTAAAAAAAAGCTATCATGTAACCTTGGTCGTAGATAAAATGCAGTTTTGTTCTGGGAAGGGGACAGGGAAACTTTGTTACTGTATGTACATAGCAATTTCTCATTTTAAAGAAGTGGATTATAATAAAATATTCAATGTAAAATCTATAAAAGATAATTAAATATTTTGTGATTCAAAAGACATTGTAAGGCCAGCCCCATAGCCTAGTGGTTAAGGGAACTGGATCCCCAGTGGCCAACTGTGATTTGAATCCTGGCCCTGGGAGCTTGAAAAACACTGAGATTGTGTGTTCATGCACAAAACCCTGACAGGGTGGTGGAATGGAAGAGCAGGGATTGCACGTGACCGTGCCCCATTCGGAGGATACTTTTCTCCTCTCCCTCTCTCCCTGTCTCTGGTGAGCGCATGCACCTTCTGATGATTAAAAACTTTTAAAAGGCACTATAAAACTTTGCCAGTGTTTTATTCTGAGTGTGAGTTGTGACTTATATATTGTTTTAAATTCGCTAGAGAGTACATGGACTGGCTTGAGGCAGAGAAGGGACGTGAAGAAGCACTCTCCAGGGAGATAGCTACCCCATAACCCCTTCTCTTCATTCCTCCTTTGGGGATTTTGGGCACACACACGCACCCAGCATGTTTTCAAGCACCAGATCCAGACTCAAACCATGCGGTCGACCATATGAGATACCAACAGCCTTGACCATCTCACCACTGGCTGGCTCTGTCATGACTGTTTGTAGGGATATTCCGGTTTAACATATGGAAGATGAAAACTAAATTAATTGTCCATGAAGATCAAATAAAGAGTAAATTAAGTTGTAATGAAAAGTTCGGCTGAGAAAAAGAATAATTATCTGTGGATTGTGTAAATCACTAATTACATTGATGAAAATAGACATCTGACCATTGATAGTGTGCGTGGGCCTTGTTTCCAAGGAAGCAGGCAGCTGAACCAGAGTAGCAGCCCTGTGGTCTCTTGCCAATGGTAGAAGACGATTCACAAGTGTGTAGTGTTCTAAATACGCTTTAAAGAGAAATGGAAGAAGAGCTTTTAAGAGGCTGGAGACATTAAGACTGTTACAGGTTTTGCCACTTTTAACCTAGTAGACTATTGGTTTGAATGACTTTGTTCTGAAATATTTATTTTCCTGTTTAAATATTCATTGCTGTGAGATAGCAGAACTCAGCCTCAGGGGAGAGGTTGAGCTTTCCTCAGAGTGATTCAGAAGAAGTCTGTGAGTGCATGTGCATGTGTGCGCATGTGTGTTGAAGACTAGGGATTTGGAGGCAAGTTTGCAGTATTCTTGTTGGCCATGCCTGTACCTGCCCTACTCTATAACAAATTTTAAATAGAAACAGAAAGGATCCACTGTTAGGCCTTCATTTCAGTAGACTTGTATTTTTTTTTTTTTTTTGAGAGGTTTTTGCCATAGGGCGCGTGCGCTCGCCAGACAGAGACAGAAAGCGAGAAATCACCCCCCAAGGGGGATGGCCACGCAGCAGTCCTTTCCCCTACATTCTCCTCTCTATCCTCCTCTCCTCACGCACACGTGCCCGGTCTGAGTTTTAAGCCACCAGGTCCAGGACTCAAACCGTGGTTGACTACATGGGAGTCCAGCGCCATAGCCATTAACACTAACTTCTGGTCCCAGTAGACTTGTATTTTTGGAAAAAAAAAAAAACGATTAGCGTTCTCTTATCTTGAGGTTGTACTTAAGAAGGTAATCCGTAACTATCAGAAAAAATACATTTATAGCCACTATTACCTTCCTCTCATAACCTGTGAGCCCCTACCCTCTGCCAGTCTGCTAGAGGTGTAGATGCGTCAGGACATCTCTGGATGCTTTACTGCCACATTATTGTCCTTTCCCATTCTGCCAGCCAGCCCCCCAAAGCAGCATTTCTCAGTGTGGTACCCAAACGGCAGATACGGACAAGTGCCAGGGTCCCACTTGGACCCACCAAATCTTAATCTATGGGGAGAAATCTTGACATTTGCGTTTTTAAACATGTTCTTCAAGTGATTGTTAGGCACAATAAAGTATGGGCATCTGCTTTCACGGAACAAGGTAAAAGATGAATTTGTGGATGTGGGTTCTGGGTATTGTGGAAGTGGTACCTTTCTGGATAGGGTCAGTTATATTGTTGAGACTGAAACAAGAATAGACTTGGAATTACACTTCCCCTTAAATTTAGTATTTCAATGGTGATAGTTTTTTAATTGCTGTAGTCTTTATTTAGTAATTATATCTGTTTTTGTGAACTTCCATGGGCTCCCAGCCCTCCAACAAGTTCTTTTTCTTTTTTTTACATGCATAAGCCTTTTAATATAAGACTTCATTTTCAAAGCATTTCAAACAATTCACTTACATAGAAAAATAACAGTATAGTCTTGTGGGGAGGGTTAATAACGGTCCTCACGACTAAAACCATCTACTTGTATTTCTTGGTTACATTCCATAATAACGGGGCACAGGCCCGTCCGGATGGCAAATCGCCATAATCCAAAACACCTGTGTTTTAGTTCTTTCAGCCTTTTCTTTCACGCTCTGGCTCTGATAGAAAGTCACCGTCTTTCCTTCATTCTGTGTGCAGCCCTCCAACAAGTTCTAAACAACCGAGTGAGAAATGAGTTCTTGGAATTCAACCTGGATATGAAAATTGAATACCGCATAGAGACTTCATAAATGTATTATGGAATTGGGAAACTTTCAGGAAGTGCAGCCTGTTGATCCGAAACAGCACAACAGCAGATTACATACATAAGTGCACGGTTTGAGTCCCACAGCTGGCAGCTTGGGAAACACACTGGGCATGTGTGCATGCATGCCCAAAATCCCAAAAGGAGGGAGAAATGGAAGAGAATGGATTGTGGCGTGGCCATGCCCTGTGGGGGTAGAGAGTGGA